TGACACCAAGTTTGAACTTTTTCTTCTATTTCATGATTGCACAGTGCTTTGTGTTGATCTGTCACAAAAAAAAATCCCAGTAAACAGGTGTTATTGTGAGAAAATGAGAACATTTTCATGGGGTATGATTATCTTTCAAGGTCCCGTATTTGTAAATGAATGTGTGCAGCACCCTTTCCCACACGGTGCAAGAAGCTGCTTTAGCTCTGTGTTTAAAGCATCATTTTTCCTCTTATTACAACAACTTCAAAGGGTTTTAACTGAGCCCTTTCCCCGTGTTGCCAAATCCTCCAAACTTTTCTGATTTAGTAAGCTGGCTTCGGGCCGAGCTACACTGGGACAGGCCCGTTAACAACCAGCCGTTTGCTGGGAAGAGAAAAGAAGAAGGGAGAAACAAACAAGGCAGAAGGAGAAGCAGACCGAAACTGAGACAGAAATGAAAGAAGTGCTGAGAGATGCAGGCCTGCTAACAACACATGGAAGAGAAGGGTTGCTCAGGGAGGAAGACAGAGGCGGGAGATGGATATAAGAGGTGTGGGGATCGATTGAAAAGGGAGAGGAGAGCAGAGGCAAGCAGGGAGGAACATGGCTCTGAGGAGAAGGAGGAGGAGGAGGGCTGGAGCACCACTCCAAGAGCTGAGAGGAGTGAATGCCCTGGTGAAGGGGAAGGGAAAGAGGAAAGCAGAAGGGGGAGGGGAGAGGAGCACGAAATAAAGTCTGGCCAGAAAGGAAAAGAACAAGAGGGAGGAGAAGATAAAGAAGAAGAGCAAGAAGCGGCCACATGGACACAGGAAGTCTGGCACTTTCCACTGAGATGCCAAGTCATCAGATGGCGGTGTGTGTTCACACCCGAGAGATGTTGCAACCAAACGCGCCTCACTCCCTTCAAATCACTGCTACCAACAATAAGCAGCTGTTCTCCGCTTGGATGAGAGCTGGAGACGAAACAAAAGTCTTTCAGTCCGAAGCACATGCGCTTTGGAGCAAAGCAAACCTCAGCGTCACCCTAAACTCCACCATCAAAGCGACTTCTGCACATTATGTCACACTTTTCTTTTAACTCTGCACTGATTCAAGCTCTTATGCGCCTCCATTCCCATCCATCTCTTTTTCCAGGGTCAGTTTGATTAGATGCAAAGAAACATTCAAGATGTTTAAATGTTGTGCAAAGGTTGAAATCTAAAAGCACAAAGAGCATGATTTAAAACAAAAATGTTTCACTTAACTTTACTGGACCTAATTACTGACTTAATGCTTTCAATAAATTAATAATTTTCAAACAGTCAGACCCATTGAGCCATTTTACAAAATGTTCTGTATAAAACAAACAAATGCTACATTTAGTAATGTTCTCAAAAATGAATTTCTCTGATATTTCACTCAAGACAGAGGCAGTAAAATGAGGGCTGCATAATATTAGGAAAAACCAGAGCTGATATATTTTAAATGCTTAAACATCAGATTTAGCTACATTTTCCTCATTTTTCTGTTTTTCTTGGCAGCATTAAGATGTGCCCACAATATTAGTGTGCTATAGCATCTTCTTAATAACAACTACAAATATAATGGTATCAAGTTTAGAAAATTTACTTTAAATTTACTGTGCATTAACATTTTTATTAAAGTAAGGCTATCTATCTATCTATCTATCTATCTATCTATCTATCTATCTATCTATCTATCTATCTAATGACTGTTTACTGTATTTTCCCACCACTCGTGACTAATTCCAGTAGAACATTATAAAGTAGTGATTTTATTTTTACATTTGCGTCAGAACTTTTTTTTCTCTTTGAATTAAACCAAGTTGACAGTTACAGTTTTCTCCCTCCAACCTCAGCCAGGCAGGCCGCTGCCCACACCAGCTGTCGCCTCTAAGCAGGGGGTCGTCTGGCGCGCTGCACCCGAGATCTGCCCCCCATACTACCCAGGGTAGAGAGGAATAAGGGGTTCATGGGTAGGAAGCTCGGTGGGACATTTATCCACTGACTCAGCTGTCTGTGTCCCAAACACACCAGAACATCCACTCTCTCTCTTGCTTTCACTCTCTCAGACACTTAAGAAGCAGAGGAGATGCTGGCCCTGGGAGTCGGGGGAAGATGGCTATTGGGTGCTGTCAGGCAGTGGTAATCTGACTGGATTACCAACCAGGTGGAAAGATTCAGCCCATCTACCCCCCCATCTCTCTTCCTCTCTTCCTTCTCAATGTCAGCATCATCTCATCTCTTCCTTTTCAACCAGCTTTAACACAGTGACACGCATTCACCCAGACTCTGTTGCCATGTCTGCATTAACCATTCAGCTGCACGTCCCAAATTCCTCACCAAACGGTAAGCAGGTAGAGGAGTGCTTAGGGGTGTGTCATAGATGCCGGTGTTATGATCAAAGCCCAGAATCTTCCAAGAACCCGAAAGATTTTTTCCAGGTATAATCATGATGAACGGACAGGGTTGACATGAAGTCAGTGTGGAGATATTAGAAACAGGTTCTGGAGTTTGGTGAACAAGACTGAACATGAAGTGAATTAGAGCGAGAGGGGCAAGAAAGACTCCACTGGGAGATTATCTGCTCCGACAAAACACGGGGAGTTAAAAAAAACTGAAGCCTTCAGAGTTGTGAATGACTGTTTGTGCTGCATGACACTAATGTAAACTCTAATACAAGGTCACACACAAACGAACGCCCCCTCTCTCTCTCAAACACACACACACCCCACCATGTAAACAAAAACCGTCTGCTGTCTGGGAAGTAACACACCTGTTCAATGACAAGCACTGCCACTCCCTCCCCAGTCCTGCACACCTGTGCTACTTCAGGCTAAACCTAACCCTAATCTTATACACACACATAAACACGCACATGCAGTATAACTACTGCTGCCAGAGGCTAAGATCACAGAACAGGAAAAGGGGAAAAAAGGGAGAAGTGAATAAAACCGACAGAGTAAAAATAAGAGGAAAGAGGGCCCCAGACAGATGGACAGACAGACTCAAAGGTTTTCCCAGCACTTCTATCTGTAATCTGAACGCCTGTGTAATATCATTGTAGGGCTGAGTCCTATGGCGCTGGTATGCGTCTGTCATTCCACCACTTTGTCAAGAGAAACCATATTGAAGCAGACACCATGCTGATCTAAATGAGAGGCTTCAGCAAATTGATGGATTGCAGGTTCTCTGGGACGTGAAAAAATGGCAGAACAGAACAGTCCTCCTTTTCTTCTATTGTTTTATTTCTTTGAATTTCTGTAAGTGATACAGTAAATCTGATCAGGCTATAAATGTGTGAGTGCATGCATGCATGTGTGGGTGTGCTGCAGCTATATTCTGAAGCAAGCCCACTCCTGCTCATCGATGCCCAGCTCCACATCGTGGTTACCCCCTGTGAATAAGCCTAGGGCCAGGCACACAGCTCCCTGAATCTCTAAGGGGGGCAAGGACAAAGGTAACCCCCACCCCATCCCATCCTAACCTCAAACCAAACACACACATACATACACAAACCCAACCCCCCACCCCTAAACAACAATCCTCCATGCCCATCATGTCAGTCAAAACCCCATAAGGGAGAGTCTGAAAATGTGGAATCTCAATACAGTGTCATGCACTTTGAGACTTCTTGAATATATTTCAATAGCATTATCACCCTAAATTACAATACTTACCCCCCCACCACCCTTTAACAGTACTGAATTATTTTCAGAATGGGCTTTAAAATATCTGTCAAATTATCATTTCAATTGTTTTGAAAAAAGATTGTTAATGTTTGGTCTAAAAAGGCCATTTTATTTTTTTATTATAATTTTAGTCAAATCTGAGAGATAAAGTCCGTAGAAAAAATCAGAATAATTTATATGAATAATTCAGATAATCTGAATCAGAGATTTTTTTTTTCTTCATTACTGAACATCTGTAATTTACATGCAGATCTATTCCATATAACATAAAAAAAATCATAAAGACAGAGATATAGATGGTGTTCAGTGGTGCGCTATAATCTGAGTCCTGCTTGGCCACAGACATCCATAAATATTCAGAAATATATATATATATATATATATATATATATATATATATATATATATGCGTGTGTGTGTGTGTGCCTCTTCATATAGTTTTATGAGACAAACAGTTTGGATAATATCTAGACATCAGTCCACTGCTTTTTAAGAAACCATATCTCCATTGAAATAACACTTCCTACTTTCTCCAGCTCTGTTACAACATATGTAATTGAAGAGTTTCAGAAATTAGCAGACATTTCTCTTTCTTCCTTTCTTTTCCTCTGCGCGCACTCATACACTCGCGGAGACACACTCCTCCCTTATTGAGACAGGATACCAAAGCTACTTGTTAAATCTAATGCATGCACTGTCAACCCATTTGCACCCCGTCACGTCCCCGCTCAATATAGAAACCGGATTTTCTAGTATTACTCCTCTTTACTCCCCACCATTACAACACACTCAACCCCACGTTTGGGACCATCAGGACCTTCAGCTCACACAACGACACCGTCCCCAAAAAACAGATTTAACAGCAAACCACTGTTTGATATGATAGCAAATTATTCTTTGATATAGCAAAATAAATAATCAAACCTAAATAAATGAAATTTTGGTAACTATAACAAAATGAAGACCTCTTAAAAAAAAAAGATTGTGCCATTGTTTATTCAAGTAATGTTTCCTGAAACCAAGTCATTGTGAGTTATTTTTTTTAATCAATGGCTAGAGGACCTAGTAAATAAAAACAATCCACATCGTAAATGTTTAACTGATCTCATTTGTAAAATCAGGCAGCTTTATGCGTTCGTTTCAGAGCTGCTGCAGACATGCAGGGTCCCCTCTCTGCCTTTGACTCCCAAACAAACACCAACAGCGCTGATTTTGGGTCTGTTTTCCATTTTGGGAGTTTGTAAAGTCTTTAAAATCATGCTTGTTAAGTTTAAAATACGGTTATTTTAAACACAGAGAAAAAAAGAATCGCATTAAAGACACCGACCTGAGTGCGGACCCATGGGGAGGTGTGATGAGAAGTACTTCCCGGGCTGGAAGTGTGCCGGGTGCTGCACGGAGCCGTGGCCGCCCGGCGCTATCCGAGATGCGGCGCTGTGCACCAGGGCGCTCCGCTCTGCCAGTAGGTGGTGCGGCGGGGCGAAATCGCGGCTTTCCATCCTGCACTTTAAAATCCCCACAAATTCCGGAGCAAAAGCGAAAAAAATCCAGAGGCACCGAAGGTTTCAGGCACCCAGATCGCAAAAATAAAATAAAATATAAATATGATCCCTCTTTATGAGCTTCGCGCTCTCCTCGCTGATAGGAGCGCACTGCACAGCAGAAACAGTGTTCCCTTCATGTCCTGCGGAAAGAGAGAGCAGGAGACAAGTCAGAGCCAGGCAGTGATGAAGTAAAGGCTGAGAGACAGTCCCTGAGAAAGTTTATACAAATTCACATTAGCTATTTATTATCAAAAAGCGATGGAAACAAAACAAAAAACTCCTAAAAAGATCCGGATTATTATAATCTGGCTCTGTTTTCACGATGATTGTGCCACGAATTAACGTGCATGGAAACAGTCGTGTTGGCTTTATACTGGACATTCACAAACACACCTATTCACACCTACAAACACATACTCACACTGACATTATTCCCCTCAAACTAAACTCAACACACACAGACAGGAGCGCAACAAATGAATACGGAATAAAATGGCACAGTTTGCTCTGGAACAAACATCTAATTCACACATGGCAGCAGAACAACGCTTCGAGTTGGGTCAGACAACCCTATCTGCAGAGGTGCATTGGAAATACATTTAGTCCCGACTCAACCAGGTCAGACCTGGCTGCTTTTACTTGCGCAAAAATTCACTCACCGTTTTTGTGAGTGAATCCTAAAATGCTCCGAGTGTAACATGAGTTGGAAGGTTTTTGATTGATTGAATTGCCATATTTAATGAAACATTTGTCCTAATTTTGTTAAACAAAAGGGAGGACGCAACATAAAAACCAACTTGTAAATAAAGCATTATTTGCGTTCTTTTAAATCACCAGAGTGGTAAAAATATTGTGTATTTCTGCTCTATGTTTAGCGCCATACCGTACTCCCAAACACCAATCATTCCCTCTTCGCTCCACTGCGAATGGATGCAGAAATAAGCAGTGACTAGGAATGGACGTTAGATCAATTATATAGCCCTGCACGTTTACTTAAATGGGGCTCTCTGAGATGTGCATGCGTCGCCTAGCAGCGCACCTTCATCTATTAGTTTTCCCGATGCATGACACGTCCATCTAACACCTTGTAGATTCTGATCGCACCTCCACCTCCAAGAAACCGACGATAAAGGGGAACAAAGAAAAAATAAAATGCTCTGGTGGACCGGGGGCTGCAGAAAGTTCACACACACATTTTTTTTCTGACACACACATCAAGCTTTTCCTGATTTGTTTATTTAAAGAATAACATTTTGCACAGTTCATTTGATCTAACAGATCGAGTTGTCATGACTGTGTGCGCTTTGTGCGTAAAACACTCACGTATATTTATAAATAAATACCGACCGGGTTTCCTCGGACTCAGAGCGCATTTAAATTATTAAATTTCCTTTTTGTTTGAAAGCCTGACGTTATCTCTGCGGTGCATATCTGCTCGGCAGCACTAGGGGGGAAATAAAAGGGTAAAAAAAAATGTGGTGGGGGACGCAGGCTGGATGGGCTCCTCACTCCCCTCTCTCCGGGGCCCTAAGGCTGTGAGAAACAATGGCCCTTCTCCGCGGGGGCATCAATCACACACCACTCTCCTCTTTGACGTTTGTCTATAGGTTTTTTACATTTTCGGCCCATAAACACACATCTCAGAGTGTTTACATTCCACGTCAACAGAAACGCCACTCAGTCCCCCCGTGTTCGACAACAATCTACGACTCAAAATCCACGCAAAACTGCAACGCTACGAGCAGCATCATATTCTAAGCGTTTTGGAGCTGTTGCTGTGCGCGTATGATGTCAACCTGGAAAGGCTTTAGCCTTCCTCTCATCCAAGCGAGACTCCTCTCAGACACACACTAGGCTACCACACACAGAGGGACGAAGACAGAGAAGAGGTCAAACTATCGCCAGACTGAAGTAACCCACCGCTGGTCAAGGCAGCATTACACGGACTCCAGACAAAAGGCAGAAAATCTGCAAAGCATTGTGGTTAACAGACTTCCTGCAGTGGAGGTTTCGACAAAAGAAACACCTTTTGTGCTTTTTTGCCAGGGAAAATGTATCACATCACATTTGTTGAACTTAAAATAAAACTAATTTAATCCAAAAGCGTTAAAATAACAAAGCGACTCGGCTTCTTCGGCCTACCTCGTCATATTTAAGGAGATTGAAATAATAAAAAGCAGAACTGACGCATTGGACTAAAAAAACTAGGCCGTCCCGGAGTAGAGAGAGTGGAGCCAGGGCTACAGCCGACAGGCTCGGCTTCTTCCTCAAGCCGCCTAGGAGCGCCGAAGTCTGGACACCTACACACACTCACACAGCAGGAAACTAAAGGACAACATTCAATATTTCAAAAACAGGCTGTTCTTGTGCGCCTGTAATAAAGGATTGAAAGAAAGGGCAGGTAATGTGTGTTTTAAAGACAGATCATGGCAAGATGTGACACACACACACCCACACACAGCAAAGCCATCCTGCTGCTGCATACTGTTCAGGTGGAAATACACTGACTGAGTCTTTACAATACTGCAGTCTGCTGTTTCCCTGCTTCAGAATAGAGACTATCTTTGTTTAGTTTTTTTTTAACCATTTTTTAAATACAAGCCTTCATCTTATAGTCTCTAATTCCGCTTTCATGTAAAATAGCCAGTTCCCCCATCTTCATAAAGAAAACTTCCCATTTAAGGCTCTTATTTAAGATAAATCTTTCAGTGGAAGAATTTAACTTAAACCGATATTCGCTACAAAAAAGTATAGAAATAATTTTCGACTTACTGGTAACTTACATCCGCTGCAGAGCGATGAGGCTAGAATGAAGGGGAAAAGTAGAAAAATATTCACGTGAAAATCCCCGACACGCATAGATGAAACATGTGGGATTGATTACATCCTAACGCTGCTGCTGCAGACTGCGCTGTGTGTGCGCTCAGCTGAGGTATGGGAGAGACGCATCACAGAAGTTCAGGCTTGTAGTGAATCGGGGCTCGTTCATGCAGTCGGAGACTCAGACACGCCGCGAGGGGGAGGAGGGGGGGGAGGGTTGAAGGGGTGTGTGCGCGGGGAGGAGTGGACGCGCAGGCCTATTGGTTTGTGGATGACAATGTGAAAGCTTGCCCGTGGGGCGCTCCCCCTCCACCCCAACAGCTCTTTACGCACGCACGTATACGCACCAACATTCAAGCGCACACACAGCGTCTCTCTCACACACACACACACACACAACACAGACACTACCACCACCACCCTCCCTTTCCACGGTAAACACTAGCTGCTATTGGCTGCAGCCGGGAGCCAATGAGAAAGCCGCTGGAGCCACGGAGCGAAACGGCGGGCGTTTGATTTGTAACCTTCGGCGCGCTGCGTGCTGGAGCAAATGCGAGGAGACAGGCGGCACAGCTCGGAGCTGCTTTTATAGAGAGAGGAAAGGAGCCGAAAGAAGCTGGCGCAGCCTACAAAACAGCAGCTTTTATTCCGTGTGATCCCGCTGCAGCTGAGTTCAAAATATATTCTGATTGGGCCAGATCGTTATTTTGCTCCGTGTCAGCGCTGATGTGATCGTTTATTCTTCGGATGCTCCTTCGGGGAAATCCACTTTTACATTTGATTTAGCCTCCGTTTCCCCTGATGAAGCAGATCGCGCCGGTCTCACATGCATTGTAAAAAGGGAAGCTTTATGTGTGTCATTAAATTGATCAAAACTTTAATCTAGTATTTAAATTTGTATATACCAGACATATTTAAGGGCCCATGGATTGCAAGTCTAAATATGTTGTACATTTTAACAAACAAGTGAAATATATTTACCTGTCTCTGGATAAAAAAAAAAAAAGCTTTCTGGCTTAATCACAATATATCCTGTAATATTTACAGAACTACTACCTCACGTGTGCACTCTTATTGGGATTTGATTCAAACACAGTTTAGAATGTCAAAGGTCAGGATTGGTTTAAACATCAAAGTTTTCTTTCTCACAGTTAATTGCAACAAAAGGTAACTTATTATACATGATATAACACTATGGGGGCTAGCAGGGTATTTGGCTTTAGTTATCTCCTTGTGTAACTAGGCTATTAGGTTTCATTGATTTGATAAGATTTTTGTTTCTGAAAAAACTGATAAAAGAAAAATGTTTAGAGATAAGTATTGTTGCGTATATTAGCAAATTAACATATTTTTTTTTGTTTGTTCTTTTGTTGATAAGCAGTGAAAATAAAGAGATTTTTTAAACTAATATGTAAACATGTGAGAACCAAACCAGGTTGAGCTCTTGGCAAAAACTTTAAACAAACTGCTACATGACTTTAACTTATTATTGAAAAAAAGAGCGTTTTGAAATAAATAGCCTATTAACCCATGTCGGTTTAGTAACCTGCTATTTCTATTAAGGGCATGTGCAGCCAGCACAGTAATGCTGATACGTATAAAAAATACAAAAAAAGGCATATTCTTTAAGAAAATGCCAATACCAACCTATACTGATGGTTACTAAAGTTTAAATATTTTGACCAAATTTTTTTTTTTTTTTAGGACTCGCCTTGACGAAAATTGGAGGTTGTAGCAGCAATCAGAAGCAGACATAGTAAATTTTAGCATATATTAGGTTAAACATACACACGGGTTAGAGATACATTATTGCTAATAGTTGCAACAAAACAAACAGCATATGGCAACACTTCATGACGTCATTCCCCGATGCCAACTTCGACAACACAAACAATTTAAATGTTCCAACTGTCTTGATCATTTCCATTTAAACAGTTAATCCTAGCCTTGGTTTTCAGGGAATCAGAAAGCTTATTCCCCCTCAAACAACTGCACGTTTATTGTTATCATTATCTAAATTTTATTACTTAATTACATGGGAGGACAAACTAGATGAACAAAACTATTTTAAAAATGTGTTTAGTTGACTAATTGCATTTGAGTTTTGTTAGTGGGTAACTTGGTTATCTGTTTCTTTTGATTTTTAAGGAGTTGTTTGCAAAAACATTAAGAAGACTCCCCTAAAGTTATGGGAATGTGACCATTCCCATAACTTTAGGGAATTTTAGCAGTTTGTTCATAACTTTCAAGCTTTGCAGTTACCAGTTACCAACAGTTAGAAACATTTTGTTAACTTTACAAAGCTACGATCAAAGGGGAACTTGTATAAAATAATGCAGTTTAAGGAGAATATAAGAAAAATATTGTAGCTTTAGTAAATAATCAATCTAGTTTGTTAAAATGTTTAATACAGTAATCTAGATAAATATGCCATTCTCCAATGACCCTTTGGGCCATTCTAATATCCATGCTTGTATTTAAAAAATATAAAATTACGATAAAGGATTACGAAATATAATGTAATATGTATGTATTTAAGTATTATATTTTATGTTTTTGAATAACAATTATTTTTGGTTTTTATTATTTTTTGTCTTTTACCACGAGCTACTTTTAATAGACCATCCTGCATCCCCCATAAGTATGAACAGATATAACCGATTGCTGTAAAGCTCCCAAAGATCCCCCCCTCCTTTAAAAACGTTTTGGAGGTACTGCAGCCTCACAAAAATTAGTCTACATTCTGAGCAACATTTCTGCCTAATGGAGCCACGCTCTGCTGGGGATGTTTATATGTTACATGAAAAAGACAAAAATCAGAAGAATGTTTACTCATTTAAATTCAATATGCCCGTTTACCTGCGCCCCACCGCAAACACACGCAAACAAACAACACAGTACAATACACACACTCTGTCACAGAGGACAAATTGAATCAGCGCATAATTTGAAAGCGTTGCTGTCCTCCAGGTTAGCCCAGCGCATGGTTCACTAATTTTGCCAATTAGAAGTGTAAGGATATGAGTTTGTGAAAATGAATAATTATATATATATGTTTTTATATATATATATATATATATATATATATATATATATATACACACACATACATATACATACATATATATATATATATATATATATATATATATATATATATATATATATATATATATATATATATATATATATATATATATATATATATATATATATATATATATATATATATATATATATATATATATAGGTCAAGGGGTTAAAACTCAGGGTTAGTTCGGCCCAGCGCTGCTCCTCATTGGTTGGCGAGTTGCCAGTGCGCTGTCAATCACCGAGTATAAACAAGGCTCTGATTGGCTGCTGGCCAGTCCGCACTGGGCTGCCTGAAAAAAGCAATTACTGCCCCTGCGGTTTCAAGGCGCCCCTCAGCGCCGAACGATGAAAGGAGATAAGCAGGGCGGTTTCAAGGTGCCCTCCGCCTCCCTCTGCACGGCGCACCCCGTTGGCCCCAGAGCAAAAGGAGAGTCAAGAGTGACTAAATCAAAGGGAGAAGGTAGAAAAAGGGGAGAAATTACACGTTGTATTAAACGTGGAGGCTAGATCCGCACAATACAGCAGAAACAACGGAGAAAAACAGGAAAAAAGCGATGCCTCTGCAGAGAATTGAGGGGATTTTTTTTTCTAACCCAAACAAATAGACTTTGGAGGAAGAAAGTTTTCCCCCTCGTTTTCGGCAAATGGAGGCAGCGAGAAAATAGTAAGATTTCTCTTTTTAAAACCGGAAGCGCCGACTTTTGGATTTGAGTTACAACGTTCACTTGGAGCCACACCTAAAATAAACCCCCCTTTTTTTAACGCCGCTTTTTCAATAAGTGGAAATTTCCGAGTCAAGGCCACACGGGATCTTAGATAGTTGAAGAGTTTGAATAACAAACTAAATGATAAATTACTTTCGACTGTTCAGGACCAAAAGTTTGGTGAACGTCAAAATTAAATGTTCTGTCACAGTGTAATAAGCTGATTGCTGTAAAATAAAAAAAATCATGTCAAATTAGATGCATCATAATCCTAAAAAAAAAAATAATAATAATATGATTTAACTGAACACTTCAAACCTAAAAGCTCAGTTTAAATGTTTCTGCTTTCTGTTTTTAACAGACCGGATCCTAAATCTTCTAGGATCTGAGACCGAACCCCGGATGCGACCCATCCTGCAGAATTGGGTCGTTGGAACCTATCAGATTTACTTGACTAATTTAATAAAACAAAGTGAAAAAAAAATAGAATAAAATCAAGTCGGTAAATACATTTCATCCCAGTTTAGCTCGCGGAGAATTCCATGCTTGTTTTTCTTGCAGCTGTTTGTTTTAATGGTTCGTGTTAAAGGCAGATCCTGCAGTCTGAGTTTTTTTAGCTGAACCTGTGCAGAAGTGACAACATGGAGCATGCACCTCATAAAGCACACACCCAGCCAGTTCTTTACGTCCATTTCCATTAAATAGCGGCTCTCTGCAGCGCTCTGTCCGGCCCCGAACACGGCATAAACTGGGCTCTGCAGCTCAGAAACCTGAAGGCACAGAGAGCTAATTGAAATAATTAAAAACAATTAAAGACCACGTCTGAGACATATATAAGCTATATCCCTAATCAGCAGGCATGTTCATATTCCCTTTTTGCCATCACATGTAGAATATAGCCTAAAGAGTATCTTAGTGTGTGCGTGTGTATTTTCAAAACCTTCAAATTTGTTCAGAGGAAATATTTTTTTTAAGTAAACCATTGAGTGAAACACTAATGCCAGGTTAGGCTACTTATTCTGATAATTATAAGAGACAGGCATGTCACTGTGTGAAAGGAGATGCCATTCACTCATCAAAAGCTGAATTTAGCTATCCTAAATATATTAAATCTATACCTCAGATGAGCTACAGTTTTAGGTATTAACAATTCATATATTGTTTAGAAAAATGTATTTTTAGCAACCCAACACACTACAATATTTTTTAAAAACTAATAATACCAGAAGGTTGGAAACTCTTGAGTGATCCAGCAGCTGATAGCAGTGAAATGGGAAAAAAGTTTTATGAAATGACTTGCCTTCCCCTGTTCTCTTCCCTAACAGTGTTGTCCACACCACTAATGACCGGGGGACAATAA